GTGTGTGTGTGTGTGCGTGTGTGCGTGTGTGCGTGTGTGTGTGTGTGCGTGTGTGCGTGTGTGTGTCCATGTGTTTTGTGTTTGTTTGCCTTTGTTCCCCTTTTTGCTCCATGTACGACAGCCGCTGCCTCTGAACACCTTCGCTGCAGTCGACATTCTCACTGCGTCTGTTTTTGCTTTGTTTTTTTTCCCCCCACCCACCCACCCATCTTTTTTTTTTATTGTACGTATGCGTGCGTGCTCGTGAGTACACTCTCCCCCTTCACCCTTCCCGCAAGTAGTTTTACGCGAGCTTAACGTGCCGTGGGTGACGAACGCCGTGGCGGTGGTGGTGGTGGTGGTGAGCGGGGGCCAGTGAAGTTGTTTCTTGGATTCCACGTGAGATGTGTGTCTATACGCGTGCGTGTGTGTCTGTGTGTGTGTATTGCACACGCCCGCGTGCCTGCTCGACGCCGCTTCTGGCTTTCCTCCTGCAATGTGCCCCTCTCTTTTCCCCTTCTCGTGTGGAACTCCCAGGCGGTTGCCGCGTGGGCCGTGACAGGAAGGATGACGTCGGCAAGCCCGTCCTCCCTCCCTCCCGCAGCCAGGCGGAGCAGGCAGCGGCGGCAGCGGCGCCTCCGGGCCTTCGCCGCGGTGACCCTGCTGGTGTGTTTCGTTGTTCTCGCCTGCAGCAAGCTCGCGGCCCCGCGTGAGAGCCTTGCGCCTGTCGGGCAGGCCGCCCCGACGGCAGTCCAACCGGCCGTCGCGGAGCGGCAGGCTGTGGAGGAGGAGCCCAACCTTCTCCCCTACTGGGAGGACGCGCTTGACGCGCAGGCGCGAAACGACTCTGCCACTGCGGCGTGGGGCTGCGACTGGTTCGTAGCGCCCGTGGGGGAGACGCCGCGGCTGGCCCCGATGTGCGCCGTGGGCGGCGGCAGCAGCAGCAGCCACGGCACGGAGCCTTTCAAGCCCCTCTGCTCCCGTGAGGAGTTGGCCTCCGGAAGTTTGGCGGTGCACGGAGGCGCCACCCGGGCGAACTGCGTCAAACGGGGCTTTCAGCGCAAGTGCCACGTCGAGAACCTCATCCTGCGCCAGGGCAACCTGTTCACCTTCAAGGCTGGGCGGGGGGCGCTGCCGTCCGTGCTCTTTCTCGCCGACGGGGTGCGGGAGTGGCTGGGGCGGCATCATCAGTACTATGGAACGCCTCTGCGGGAGGTACCGCCGGCGATGGCCGAGGCCCGCCCCGCAATTTTGTCCCATTGCAAATTTTTGGTCACGGCGCCGGTGGTGTTTATCTTCCGCATGAGTGGCCATTCAACGTATCATTTGTGGAGGAACAACCTCGGGCCATTCTTTGCCACGCTGCACGATGACTTTGGGAGAGGCGGTGGCGGCGGAGCGGCGGGGGTCTTTGGCGGGGAACCCCCCGTGCTCATCACCGTTGATCAAAAGCCGCGGGCGGGGCCCAAGGCTCCCCACCTGCTGGACGAGCTCCTGCACTACTTCACCACGCTGCCGATACTTGACGCCTCTGAGTTCACGGCGCCAACGTGCTTTACGAGAGCCATTCTGGGCATCAGTGCGAGCGGCTTTAATCAGGCGGCGCTGCGGCACTGGCTGCTGCCACGCATCGCGCTGCGGCACCGCCTCTCCCAGTTTTACATGCAGCGGAATGGGCGCAGCGGCGCGGCTGTCTCCTGCGCCCGTGCGACGACGCTGCGGTGCCTGCCCCCGCACTACGGGCGGCGACTGCCCACGGCTTTCAATCAGTGGCTCGCGTGGAGGCTGCGGCGCTGGCGGCGGCTGCCGCGGCAACCGCGGGTGATGTACCTCAGCCGCAACCACCCCAACATCACGCGTGGGCGCAAGGTGGTGAATGAGGCCGAGGTGATGCCTGCCCTTGAGGCCGCGGTGCTGGCCGCGACGGGTGCTCCGCTTCGGCGCGTCTTCTTTGAGGAACTGGCGTACGTGGAGCAGATCGCCGCGATGGCGGCGACAAACATCCTCATCGCGCCGCACGGCGGTGGCGTCGCCAACTGCGTCTGGATGCCGCCGGGCTCCGTCGTGGTGGAGTTTGTCCCTCCCGCCGGGGCGACGCTGCCGGGGATGTACCGCAAGATGTGCCGCGGTGCGGCGGGCGGCGGGGTGCCGCCAATCGAGCACATCGCCTTCGTCGCTGAGCAGGACCCGGCGGAGTTGTCGCCAGGCTTCGCTGCGGCGAACCGCGCGTGGAGAGGAAACAAGCGGCTCTTCAGCAACATTTGGATGCCGAGGCAGCGACTTCTCGAGCATCTCGACAGGGCCCTCGAGTTGTATCGTCAGGCGTGGGAACGTGCGCGGCGAGAGGAGGCTTGGCGCGTCTACTGAACCTGCAAGCGAGGGAGTGAATACGTGTGTATGTGTGTGTGTGTGGGTTTGCTTGTTTCACCAAGTCTTTACCCGGTGATGCGCCGTACAAACACACACACTCTATATAAAAATATATACATATCTTTATATATATATATATCTCTCTTTGTTCTCCTTTCCCGCTTTCTCTCGCTAGTTCCCTCTTTGTTTCCTTCGGTTTGGTGTTGAACGCCTTCTCACCCCCCACTTGGCAGGGAGCGAGCGGCGATGGTTGCCAGCGCCGTGCCGCGCCAGCGGAAGAAGTTCGTGAAGGGGACGAACATCATCGTTCAGAAGAGCGCCACGGACGACGTGCAGGACGCCCACCTCAGCATGACGTACGCCATCGCCGCGGACGACAAGAGCGAGGCGGCGTGGTGGCAAAACACACTTCGGCCGGAGCGCAACCTCACCCACCCCTCCGAGGCGTTTTTGCAGGGAATCAAGGCGCTGCGCCCCTCGGCGCGCTTCAACACCTTTGACGCGCAAAAGGCGCGCCTCCGCCGGTTAGTCAAGCAGGAGAAGGACAAACGCGCGTGGCTCCAGCGCCGCACGAGGGAGGTGGCGCCAACCGCGGCGATGAAGGCCTCCGTTAACCCACACAAAGTTCCTCGCACCGGCGGCCATGCACCGGCGGAGGAAGTTCGGCTCCTTTCACGAGGTCGCAAACCCGCGAAGAAGCGCACCACCAACGAGCCGGAAAAGAAGGAATACTTCCACAAGTGGAAAAAGCGAAAGCTGCAGAAGATTGGAAGAAGCCTGTAGCGGGCGAGCCCCATGCCCATACGCACCCACGTAAAAAAAAAAAACACAACAACAACAACGAAGAACACATCGTGCATGCATATATATATATATATGTGCCGAGTGGGGGGGGGATTCTCGCTGAGGATGCCGCACAGTAAGGGAAAGCACGAGTAAAGGCTAGCAAAGAATGAATGCATGCATGCAGTATACCGCGTAATAGTCCAGAGTGGGACCGCCATCTACTTCCTTATTGGCGATTGCGGAGCTGGTCCCCCCTCCTCTCCCCTTTCTGTCGATGCTGCTGCTGCTGCTGCTGCTGCTGCTGCTGCTGCTGCTGCTGCTTCCAACCCCCGCTCTCTTTTTTTCTCAATTCGTTTTCTGTTCTTTTTGTCACCTTCGCCCGGGAGTTGTTTACTCCGTACCTTGGCGGTGAGGGTCCAGAGCGGTGGTGTAGTGTGCCTCACCGCCCACAGAAATGCATGCGTCTCGCGTGGCTGCCTGCGGC